TTCAACTTTTAGTGACACAGACTGAACATTCATGAGTTAGCTAGTTAACAGCATGGCTTACTGATTACTGTACAAACACACAGGTGAGCTACCAGGTGAGCTACCAGGTGCATCTGTTATGGACACGTTAGACTCAGTGATCGGCTCACGTTTAATAAAAAAAGACATGTATTTGGAAAAATGCTTGAAGATTTGTAAATAAACAATAAGTTCATTGATCTTTAATGCCACCTTTATATTTCTATCGCTTTATTAATGTGCCACAATAATGTTTTACAGTTTTACAATATCTTCATTTTCAGATGAAATCAGCGTTTATTTCTGCCTCTGTGGACATGAATTAACTATATTACTGTAAATTAATTACTGTACGATACTGTGAATTTACTGCTTATTATCCAGTAATTTACTGTACAATATATTTGACTGCTTGCATCCTTTTAGACGAGTTTTTAACTGTTGGTGTCGTTTCCTGTTGACTCACTGAAGCAGATTTCATAATATTTGCTGTCAGTTTTTTGTAAAGCGGCTCAGAGGAACACTGACTGTTTCTACATGAGTCAGTCAGTGAAAGTGATTTTAAGGTCTCTCTTTGTCTCCAGACTGCTGACGTCTGGTTGCAGATCTGATCCTTTCATGTGGTTTCGGGCCATTTGATCGTCTGATGATCTGATTCAGTAAATCTCTCTCGACAGAAAACACTTGTTTCCTCTTGTTTAAAGTCTGCAGTCGCTCTACAGCCCGAGGCGTCCGAATGTTTTCATGTCACACGAACCGAAATAGACGCACATCAGAGGCTCATTAGAGCTGTGAAACCGAGCTGTCTGATCTACGGGACGCTCACGGGGGGTTTGTGTCGCCTGTAAATGCTTTTATTGCAAAAAACCTGATAAAGGAGCCAATTATAAAGCTAATTAACTTTAACTTTTTACAGTGATTACGAGGAAGCAAATGTATAAAAATTAGGTTTCAGACTTCTGGGGAGGGAAATTAAAACCACGAACACGTTCAGACTGAACTAAAAACAAGACATTAAAGGAAGATTGTAAGATTATAACCTGTAATATAACCTCTTAATATCCAGTAATTTACTACAATTATTATCCAGTAATTTACTGTAAAAGTACAATAATATATTTTAAATTAAATTACTGGCTAATATTTTACAGTAACATAGATGAAAAGCAAAGTAATCTATTGTTTTTTATGTAAAAACTACAATATAACACTGTGATAATAATCTGTAGTTACTGTAAATTCACAATAATTCACAGTTTAAGATTATAACCTGTAATATTACCTGTCAACATTCAGGAATTCACATTCACTATATAATATATTATTGTACTTTTACAGT